TCCATCCATCCATCCATCCATCCATCCATCCATCCATCCATCCATCCATCCATCTATCTATCTATCTATCTATCTATCTATCTATCTATCTATCTATCTACCTATCTATCTATCTTTCACCTTTCTACCCCAACACTACTTTTGAATTTCAAAAGTTCCCTGACCTTAAGTTTAAATAATGCTTCAAAAATTCACAGATACATTTGCTGTCAGACCCCAAACTTCGTACTTTGCTGTTTACCTTGAAATCGTACGACTCTTCTATGATCACCTCCAGGCGCGAGTTCTCCCCGAGGATGGGTTTCCCCATCTCAGCAATTCGCCAGGCCTCCTCCTCTTCTGCAGAGAGTTTTTTGTCGCCATCCGCTAAGTAAAAAAGAAATAACAGCAGCCAAGAGCTTGATTCGACTGGATATTCCAATATTCCCTCCCTCTTTTCCTCTTTTTTTTTCATCACAACAATCCTGCAAGGTAGGATTGTCCCCGTGCCTGTGCCAAAGTCAGCTGGCCGAGCTGAAATTCAAATCTAGAGCTCTCCTTTTCTAATTTAGTCTGTTTTGTTTATTTGTTTGTTTGTTTGTTGTCTACTTTCTACTGTTTGTCCCTAGAGCTGGTAGACACATACGCTGCTCCCAAATAGGGCAGATCCATTTAACTGTCAGAATAAATCACTCTTGACATATTCCTTAGTGCTCTGATTCCTAAAGCCAGCAGCTTTTTAGAGTAGGTGGGGGGTCTTCAATCTTGGCAGCTTGAAGATGTGGATTCTGGGAGTTGAAGTCCACAAGTCCTAAAGTTGCCAAGGGTGGAGACCCTGACAACGAGACATTTAATGGATCCAGATTACCATCGGGGGAAGACAGAGAGGCCTGCCCCAAAAGGCATTTGTGGTTGGCTTGCAAAGCTGATGGAGATTTAACAGAACAGATTTAACAGAGCTGGGAAGGGATATTGGAGGTCTTCTAGTCCAACCCCCTACTCCAGAAGGAGACCCTCTACCGTTCCAGACAAGTGGGCTGTCCATTCTCCTCTTAAAAGCCTCCAGTGTTGGAGCACCCACAACTTCTGGAGGCAGGCTGTTCCACTGACGAATTGTTCTCACTATCAGGAAATTCCTCCTTGGTGCTAAGTTGCTTCTCTCCTTGATTAGTTTCCATCTGTTGCTTCTTGTCCTGCCTTCAGGGGCTTTGGAGAACAGGTTGAGACCCCCTCCCTCTCTCTCTCTTCTTTGTGGCAACCCCTCAAATATTGGAACGCTGCTATCATGTCACCCCTGGTCCTTCTTTTCTATGCCTTCTTCCCTTATTGCGGATGCTAATCCATTCCTTGCATGTGTCTCTGCCAATAAAGGAGAATATTTGTAGCGCAGGGTTGAAATGAAGGGTCCTGGAGTGCTTCCCCGAGCTTGGCGGCTTTCTTGCAGACCTTTCATGGCCCAAACTAGCTAACATCGTTGACTCGGGAGCAAGGCCCTTGGAACAAGGCGGCTAGATTCTTGATTTCGCCAGGTTTTAATTTTGCCTTTTGGCAGCCACGAAATTCTGTCCCCTTTTCCCTCTCTGCAGCACCCCCTCCTGTAAACCCACCGGTCTCTTGGCAGGTGCTGGAGGAGAGGGGGGGGTGGTCTTCTCCCAAGCAAGGAGGGGCTTCTGAGGCAGGACAGGCTTGCTCTCTCTCTCTCAAAAACCGCAGCACATTCCCATCCCTCGCACCGTGCATAGTTTCTCACCCACACATTCCCTCTCCCCCAGAACGGGAGCTAATGTACAAAATGCTCAGGCACGGCACACACACACACACACACACTTTCTCCTACGCACTGCCTCTCGTGGCACCCCCCCCTTCCCCGTTGCACGAAGCCCTCCTCTCTGGCACAGATGTTGAGGAGAAGGCAAGCCGTCATGGATCTGGGATCTATGCGCCGACTGACAAGCTTTTCCTTCCAGTCCAGCCGGGCTAAGGAGTAAAGGCGGGGTCCGCCACGCTGCCAGCAAGCCAGGTGTGGGGGGCGAAGATGTGCAAATGTTTATTCTGGTTGACAGGTGCCATTTCCAGCACCTGGGCCAGGAGGTGTGAAGAGGACACGTGCATCTGCCGATTTGTGTGCCCACTCACCTCCCCTGAGGGCATTATTGCACCTTCCTGGGAAATTCATTTCACATTTTCCAAAGGTGTTTCAACAGAATAACAGAGTTGGAAGGGACCGTGGAGGTCTTCTAATCCAGCAGGAGACCCTGTTCCATTCTGGATGAATGGCTGTCCAATCTCTTCTTGAAGACCCCCAGGGTTGATGATAAAGAACTTATAAATTCTGCTTGGCTTTGGTGCAGATGCAGTGGCTTACTTAAGGGATATATTTAGCAGTAGCAATACCAATTAAACTTATATACCACTTCACAGTGCTTTACAGCCTTCTCTAAGCCGTTTACAGAGTCAGCACATTTGCCCCCAACAATCTGGGACCTCATTTTACCGACCTCAGAAGGATGGAAGGCTGAGTCAACCTTGAGCCAGTCAGGATCGAACTGATGGCAGTGGGCAGAGTTAGCCTGCAATACTGCATTCTAACTACTGGGAGGGAAGGAAGGAAGGAAGGAAGGAAGGAAAGGAAGGAAGGAAGGAAGGAAGGAAGGAGGGAGGGAGGAAGGAAGGAAGGAAGGAAGGATGGAAGGAAAGAAGGAAAGGAAGGAAGGAAGGAAGGAAGGAAGGAAGGAAGGAGGGAGGGAGGGAGGGAGGGAGGGCAATAGCAATAGCACTTAGACTTACATACAGCTTCACAGTGCTTGACAGCCCCTCTCTAAGCCGTTTACAGAGTCATCCTATTGCCCCCAACAATCTGGGTCCTCACTTTACCGACCTGGGAAGGATGGAAGGCCGAGTCAACCTTGAGCCAGTCAGGATCGAACTCCTGGCTGTGGGCAGAGTTTATCCTGCAATACTGCCTTCTAACCCCTGTGACACTATGCGCCACACAGGGGAGGGGGGGCTTACCTTGATGGAGCAGGAGGGCTGCAAACAGGGAAACAGAGAAAGAGAGAGAGAAATTCCTCAGCGTTAAGATGGGCTGGATTTCACCTCCCAGAATTCCCCAGCCAGATGCGTTAAGATGGGTTGATTTCACCAGCCCTAGAGCCAGCCCGTATTACGGCCACCCTAGGGCCTGTTTTCCTCCTGCTCTAGAGACGTTTTCCACTTCCTGGCACCCCACTTACCGGAGATCCCTCTTTTCAACCAACGGGGTTGGCCCAATTCAATGAAGAAGCTGTCTTTTTTCTCATATTCTTCGACATCCACAATTTTCACGTGAAGGGATTTTCTGTGCCCGAGAAAGAGAGAGGAAGAGGGAGAGAGAAAAACGGCGTGAAATGCATTCAAGTGGAAAGGACTTTCTGGGCCTAGAACAGGGGTGGGCAACCTTGGCTCTTTTATGACTCGTGGACTTCAACTCCCAGAATTCCTGAGCCAGCCACGCTGAGGGGAAAGGGAGAGGTTTCCAAGCTGAGCCATGCTGGCTCAGGAATTCTGGGAGTTGAAGTCCACGAGTCATAAAAGAGCCAAGGTTGCCTATCCCTGGTCTAGAAGGTTCAAACAGTCTACAAGACGTCTTGAGAGCTGCTCTGGATCCCTCCCTAAGTAGGTTGGTTTTTATCCTGCCTTTATTATTGTTTCGAAAGAAGGCAAGGCGCTGAGCATGCCTACCTTCCTCCTGCTATTTTCCCCACAACAACCCTGTGAGGTAGGTTGAACTGAGAAACTGATTGACAAAGTCACCCAGCCAGCTTGCATGCCTGTGGTGGGACTAGAACTCAGCGTCTCCTGGGGATTGGCCCAAAGTCACCTTTTATGCCTATGGTGGGACTAGAACTCACCATCGCCTGGTGATTGGCCCAAAGTCACTTATGCTTAAAGTGGGACTAGAACTCACCGTCGCCTGGTGATTGACCCAAAGTCACTTATGCTTAAAGTGGGACTAGAACTCACCGTCGCCTGGTGATTGGCCCAAAGTCACTTATGCTTAAAGTGGGACTAGAACTCACCATCGCCTGGTGATTGACCAAAAGTCACTTATGCTTAAAGTGGGACTAGAACTCACCGTCGCCTGGTGATTGACCCAAAGTCACCTTTTATGCCTACGGTGGGACTAGAACTCACCCTCTCCTGGTGATTGGCTCAAAGTCACCAGTCAGCTTTTAGGCCTAAAGTGGGACTAGAACTCACTGCCTCCTGGTGTATTGGCCCAAATTCACCCTCCCCCCAGCTGACTTTCATGCCTGAGGCAGGACTAGAACTCGCTGCCTCCTGGCTCCTAGGCCAGCAGACCAAATTGACAATCGTCTGCATTCTGCAGCCACCAAGATCGCAAGGAAGCAGGATCCACAGCGGGTACAGGCCGGCAGAAAGCAACCTGGACACCAGTTAACCCTGGAAAAAGCGTCATCTTCACCTCCCGTCATCCTTTTCCCCCCTTGCTAGGATTCTACCTCTGAAGAGGGTCCCCTTGAGGTCATCAAGTCCACTCCCTGCTCCAGGCAGGAATCGTGGCACTCTCGACAAGCGGCTAGCCTCAATACCGGCACTGATGGAGAACTTCTCTATCCCTGGCCAAAAACCAAGGCCCCCTTCTGCCTATTCCCCTCCCGCCCCCACCCCACACCCCGTGCCCACCCGTGCCCACGTTCCAACATCTCACTGCATCCCTGGAACGGAAGCAAATTCGGGACTGGCACGGAGGCCTTCCAGAGAGGAAGAACTCGGCACTGCCTCCCACCGGCCCCCTCCCGGGCACAGCACCGGGGAAGGGTTGCCATGGTAACTGAGATTTTTGTTGTCGACCTGAAGCGCTAAGAAATCAATTACTGACAAATCATCCAGGGGCCCTTTCTTTCTCTCGCCCCCCCCCTTCCCCGCCTCCAAAGGGAGTGGCTGATGGGCTGGGCAGTGGAAGAAAAGAGGATTGGGGAAATTCAGGGAAAAATAGAGAGGGGAAGATGGGCCAGTTTTGATTGATCGATCAGTGTTGATTGATGGAGTGGCTTGATCCCGGTCGAGCATCCCTGATCTTAATTGCAACCGGGCTCAACATTCAGGAAAAGGTGATGCAACATGAGCAGACCCCGTATGCATCGCCGTCCATGCCCCCCCCCCTGCTCAGAATCTAAGCTCATTCCAAAATTGAGAAATTGCCAAACTGCACAATGGCATTGATCGGATTTGAAACTTCTAGAAACATACATTGGGTATTAGTTTAATGTCAAGAAGGCCCAGGGGTGGCATGATAGCACTCTTCCAATATTTGAGGGGCTGCCACAAAGAAGAGGTGTGGGGGGGTCAGTTTATTTTCCAAA